CTGGAGGCCATTTAAAAAAAAAAAAAAAAAAAAAAAAGTAGTAGTTAGTAGTAGTAGTAGTAGTTCCTTATAACCTAGCTTGTCCGTGTGTGTATGTTGTGTCTCCTCCGTACCGACAGCCACACATCTCTCGGTAAAGGCAACACAAAACTTATGTTAAACTTGTTGACGGTAAGAGCCGCTCCTGCCTAAGTTTATTGAAGTTTCTGATAGCAGTGAGTCAAAGTATTCCTCTCCTTCAGCGTGACCCAAGACCTAATAAAACTCATGGTAACTAACAACTGCTTTGAAAACATAAAAAAAAAAACCACACAAACACATAATTTAAATCTTTTCCCTAACACTCTAATAAACATAACGCGATTAAAACAATTAAATTCGCTACAGAACCTCAGGAAAAAAAAACACATATATTTTGTATTTAAAATTTTTTATGAATAAAGTTTCGCCATTAAAAATATACAGTAAAGCCACAAATGTACTCACATGTGTAAAAATAACTTCATGTTTTTATATTTTGTGTTATATGAAAAAGTACATTACCTCTGGGCTATAATATATAATAGAATTTATCATATTAATTAACCGTACTTGCTCAGGTGTGTGGCTACTAACAAGCATCGTAGTTTACCTGGTCGCTATTGTGTTTATACCACGAGAGAGTGGAGGTAAAGTGTATATAATGAACGACTATTAACTCTACTGAAGAAGACTCACCATATTACCCAAACAATATAGATTTTGTTTCTTATTTATATATATAACTTTAAACACGAAAGAGTTAAATACATCACTAATACACAAAGTAGTTAATTAATATATGTATACATTCCTTTACCGCTGTATGGTATTAAATAATTATATGAAGTAAATCTCTCATAATTATTTGGTTTAGGAAAAGAAGAAAAAAAAAGAAGAGTAATTTTAACCTTTTTTTTTTTTAATGATCATGGAATATTTTTTGCTATGATTTATATTTAAAACACAAATTTAACCTCGATGTTGTGTGATTAAGCTTGAGAGACGAGGCAATAACAGGGTGATTTGGTTATTTGTTTTGGTGATTGAAGTTATCCCTCAGTGTATCGGGGATCATCCAGTACTACAAGCACACAAGAGAAGGAAGCCGCAATTAAACAAGCAAAGGGAAGCCGCAAGCAAACAAGGAGATGAAAACCGCAAGTAAACAACATAAAGGGGGCTACACAGATAAGCATTAAATATATACAAGCAAACAAGCATATGCAAACTATTACCACAAGCAAGACGACAACAAGCACAAGCATAGGGACGACAACCACAAGACGCCAACCACAAGAGGAAACAAGCAGTCATCTTCAAGCACCTACACACACACACACACACACACTTGAAGACCACAGGCACAAGCAGTACAAGCACACGCAAGAAAGATAAACACGCACGTCACTCCATCTCAATTTTATGGTCTCTTTCTCCCTCTCTCTCTCTCTCTCTCTCTCTCTACCTTTCCATCTTCATCATATTTCCTTCTTTCTCCTAAAATTGATGGAATTCCCGTCACTATTATTCAGGACAGTGACTTTGCATGGCCCGGCCTGTAAGTACGGCGGCTCATTCAATTTTACACAGAGAGTTTTATGCAAGATGGTGTGTACCGCCTCTTTCGTTGACGGTCTATACAATCAAACTCCCCCCCTGTGTGTCGGCTGCTTAAACTGAATGGTCATTGGTGGAAGGTTAAGTGAGATGGTTATTATGTAATGGATGGTATTTTAGTCTAATTTTTGATGGGAGTTGATCAGAAGGGTTCATAAGTACAGGAATCTATGTAATGTTGGTGTTTTCAGTTCATGTTTTGGATGTAGTTTTTATTTTCATCTTTGGTTTTGTATAGAAATGTATTTTATAAATGTATACTGACGTTATAGACAGATAAACAGACAGACAGGCGGACATACAGAGACAGTAACACACATATGAGTTAGAAATGTTAAAAAGCAAAAGGTGTGAATTCTGCTCATTAGAAACATCTTAACAGGGGCAGGTGGCAAAACACTCCCTAGACCTCAGCACCAGACCACACACCTACCGCCTGATAATGGTCTTAGGTCTTAGGATGATAGTGTGTGTGTGTGAGATGAGTGGGGAGGGGGAGGACTGAGTGGTGGGGAGATGAGTGGGGGTGGGGAGGTGGGGGAGGGAGGTAAGTGTAGCTGGAGAGGTGGGTGGGAGGGTAGGGGGAATAATAATCAACTGAGTATAAACAACCTGGCCTCACGTAAATACACACACACATAAACAAACAATATAAACAAAACCTCATTAATCTGGTCTCATAGTAAACAAACAAACAAACACACTCGAACGTCACACCAAAACATTCATAATTCCTGAAAAAAAAAATGTCCTCGAGTTAAGAAAATAAATAAAAGATATATTTTGAGGAAGGATTTTTGTTAATTCTTTCCGTTGTTCTCGCCTTCAGCCTATGGTCAGTAAGATACGACACAGGACATAATTCTCCACTTGTGTGTGTGTGTGTGTGTGTGTGTGTGTGTGTGTGTGTGTGTGTGTGTTTTATGGTTCTCTGGTAGGTGTAAATATTGTTGTTTCTCGTTGATCCAGATTATTATTGTTTATATATTTTTGTTCATTATTTATTGTCGTATTATAATTGTTGTTGTTGTTGATGTTGTTGTTGTTGTTGTTGTTGTTGTTGTTGTTGTTGTTGTTGTTGTTGTTGTTGTTGTAGTTGTTGTTGTTGTTGTTGTTGTTGTTGTTGTTGTTGTTGTTGTTGTTGTTGTTGTTGTTGTTGTTGTTGTTGTTGTTGTTGTTGTTGTTGTTGTTGTTGTTGTTGATGTTGTTGTTGTTGTTGTTGTTGTTGTTGTTGTTGTTGTTATTATTATTATTATTATTATTATTATTATTATTATTATTTATTATTATTATTATTCCTAAAATAACTCCTGTACTCAATTCTCTCTCTCTCTCTCTCTCTCTCTCTCTCTCTCTCTCTCTCTCTCTCTCTCTCATACCACATATGCAGTTCCAGCAGCAAGACTAATAACGTAATATCAGAAGGAGTTGTGTAGGCCAGCCAGCGACCAAGGAATGAACGTGACCTGACCTGCTTCCCCACCGCCCCCCACCCCTGCCACCCAACCCCACCGCCCACCCGTACCCCCATCCCCTCACCACTGCCACCCAACCCCACCGCCCACCGCGTACTACCCACCGCCCCCGCCACCCACTGCCACCCGACCCCACCGCCCCACCACCCACTGCCACCCAACCCCGCCCACCCGTACTACCCCACTGCCCCGCCACCCTGCCACCCAACCCCACCGCCCACCCATCTTCACCCCATCTACCTTCAACCCAGACCACCGCCCACAACCACCACCACCACCACCACCACCCACCACCACCACCACACCATGTAGTATATGTATGTATGTATCACTTAACCATAAAATATCATGTACACGTATATTCAATAACATTCGTCAAGTGATTTATTGGCGATGATAACGACCCGGGTGTCACAGAGGCAAATATGTCATGGTAGGTGGGTGTAAATCTTCAACAGTGGTGTTAGTTTCCTCTAGTCTCCTCTCTCGCTGTGATGGTGACTGGTGATGGTGCAAATCTCTCCCTCTCTCGCTGTGATGGTGACTGGTGATGGTGCAAGTCTCTCCCTCTCTCGCTGTGATGGTGACTGGTGATGGTGCAAGTCCCAATAGAACTAGCACCCAACCCTCAGACGAGCTTCCTCTACCTATAACACCAAAACTCGTATCATACTCGTAACAAAACTCGTCCATTATAGGTCAAGCCCTTTAAGAAGTAAATACAGGTGAAGTTATGTTATTTACAGGGTTATAATGTAGTTGTTGTGACGGTAACTGAGTTTAATTATATAAATACTGACTTTTATTACACAAGATAAAGAATTATTTTGTTGATCGTGAAAATAATTAAAGAATATTTTTACCTTTTTTACTGGAATATAAAGTTTTAGTGTAACTGTTATGTAAATAGAAGTATGACTGGGAAATTATATCTGTGTTGGAAAGGAATTGTAAAATAAATATTGAGATAATTTGTGTTAATATTGATGAAAGTTTTTATTTATCTGGCAATACTTACACTAATTGTACGTTTAAGTGTACTCAATACTTACACTTATATTACGCTTAAGTGTACTCAATACTTACACTTATATTATGTTTAAGTGTACTCAATACTTACACTTATATTACGTTTAAATGTACTCAATACTTACACTTATATTACGTTTAAGTGTACTCAATACTTACACTTATATTACGCTTAAGTGTACTCAATACTTACACTTATATTATGCTTAAGTGTACTCAATACTTACACTTATATTACGTTTAAATGTACTCAATACTTACACTTATATTACGTTTAAGTGTACTCAATACTTACACTTATATTACGTTAAAATGTACTCAATACTTACACTTATATTACGTTTAAGTGTACTCAATACTTACACTTATATTACGTTTAAGTGTACTCAATACTTACACTTATATTATGTTTAAGTGTACTCAATACTTACACTTATATTATGTTTAAGTGTACTCAATACTTACACTTATATTACGTTTAAGTGTACTCAATACTTACACTTATATCACGTTTAAGTGTACTCAATACTTACACTTATCTTACGTTTAAGTGTACTCAATACTTACACTTATATTAGGTTTAAGTGTACTCAATACTTACACTTATATTACGTTTAAGTGTACTCAATACTTACACTTATTACCTTA